ATATATATAAATATAGATATATATATATATATAACATTAATAATAATCATTTTATATTATTTTTATAATTAGTAGAGTTTTGATCATCTTTAATTTTCACCAATTAAACAATTTTTTTTATCTGTCACATTGGTTAAATCTTACAGTAATTTTCACAAACTTTATTTTTTTCACTTAATTCCAAATCTTCTTAAAAAGTAGCAATCAGTTCACTTTCAAATCCCTCAAATTCATTTATTCACTCTTTCCAAAACAATCATTTAAAGTGAACACACTCTCCAAATAGAAAAAGATTCAAGATATTCGTTTTTTTAATATAATTCATATTTAAAATTTATCAATGAATTGGTGAGACAACCAAACTTATCAAAGATTCAACTTAACTCTTGTACCAAAATTTATAATTTTTTTTAGGTTTAATTGCTTCCTTTGTCCCCAGTTTGGTTGAATTGTGTCAAATTCATCCTCATTTTTAAAAAAGTTTCATTGTCGTCCTCACGTGGTGTAAAAGTGTCAATTGAATCCAAACATTGAAAAAATGTGTGTCAATGTAGTCATCTCCGTTAAATACACACTAACGGTGTTAAGTGGCTGATTATTTGGCACTAGAGAATTAAAACGTGGCACAATGTAGTCATCTCCTCTTCGCGCGTCAATGGTTTTGCGTCTCCATGGGTGTTCTTTGCGTCTCCATTAGTGCTCTTTGCGTCTCCATTGGTGTTGCACCCCTAATTCCTTTCGTCGCGTCTTCAATGGTTTTGCATATTCTCCACTGCCTCTGCACTTGAGTCTGCGTCTTCATTGCTTCTCTTCTTTTCGTTGTTCACTTTGTCTTCGCAGCCCTGACTAGTCTCCTTCGTCAATTGTTCGGTTCACAGGATTTCCCCATTTTGAAAACCCTAAGTTGGCGTTCCTGTCGTTAAAGTTCCTGTTAGGCAGAAGCAATTGTTGTGAGAAAGAGAGGGAGAGAGAGTGAAGGTGAAGAAGGAGAGCGAGTGTGGGAAGCAATGGCATGGTGGTGAGGGGAAGAGGAAGAACAACCAAACATTTTCGGAGAAAACAAAGGAAAATTTGTCCAAAATCAAGCGACAATGTTCTCGCCCACGCGCATATCGCCTGGCTACCAGTGGCCGCTTCTTGGTTGGGTGGCGGAAGAAGGACACATGTTGTCTGGCAGGGTCTACAGAAGCCAGAGCGAGGTTGTAGCTCTGTGGGAGAAATTCGGCAAGAATAGCTGCAAGAATAGCTGCT